CTTCATGATTTCCAAGCCTTCCTCAACTGGAAAATCACTACCAAGTCTCTCTTGAAACTATTCAGTAGAGCTCTTTGTAATTGCTTTATAGCGTCTTTGTTCTGATTCAGCGTCTCCAATACCAAATCCCATGGTAACTGATTTTCTTTATGCGTAGGGTTGTAGCAGCATACAAATGAGTAAGACATGACACTGAGTCCATCTTCTCCCAAGTGCCTGATACAATCTCACTGTGAATTTCACATGCTTCCAAATTCAAGAATGCAAGAACATTAACTGAAACTAAAAAAATGATAAAGAGCTACTCAGCGGTCAAATAAGTCTAGCAGTCAAAGGAGATACTTAACCCAATACTCTTGTGATCCATTCTAAGTCTGCAATAAAACAAAGCAGTTTGAATCAGCCTGATACTATGTAATTAATCTGAGTCTGAATAGTTAACTGCTGTGAAAGATGCTATAAAATTATTATATGAGATTAAGGATGTGTTCTTTTACACCAGTATAATATGTGCTGCAGTGGAATATATGAAACATTTATCAAAGTATCCTAAATTCTAAGGGTGGGTCCATCTCCTCTCACGGCTTTCGCACGGCTGAAAACACCATTCTTTTCTGTGATAAATAACTTCAAATCTCATTCAATCAAATAATTAAAGGCAACTTTTAAAAACGAGTATTAGGAAAACTGTAGAATTTAGAGTGGATGTTTCCTGTATTAAGCTTGCTTACTATTGCACATTCTTTTGTAGCATTGTACATTTTCATAGTAGCACATAAAAGGAGATCAAATGGCGCTTTTATACATGTTGAATGGAAATATATATATATATATATATATTCTTAATTGCGCATTGAAGACCCTGTTGTTCCGCCAGGCCGGGCTATCAACATAATAATTTTAAATTGGGGTATTTTAAACTTTTGGGGTTTTAAATCGGCCAAATCTATTTAATTATTTTAATTTTTAATCATTGTTGTGTCTTGTGTTTTTAAATTGGCTGTACACCGCCCTGAGTCCTTTGGGAGAAGGGCGGTATAGAAATAAAATTATTATTATTATTATTATTATTATTATTATTATTATTATTATTATTATTATTATTATTATTATTAATTTACTACCCATTGTAAAATATAAAGTAGAAGGCATTAAAAGAGGGAAAAATCTGTTATCTTGTAAATAATGCATTTTAAAATATCCATGAATGTTAGAGGCAATATTCTGCCCAAAGCTAATACTCATGTTGAAAACTATAATCTTTTAAAAATATGCTATATGCTATGAAATACCTTAGTCACATCTTGCCTTATTGCATATCTATTAAATACTCACAAATGCATAAAAAGGAACATAAATAACTATATAATTGGTATCTCCTCAATACTATAATATAATAATATAATTCTCAGTTCATATAAGCCATATTTGTAAGTATTTCAAAATTCAGATTATATCTTCAAATAATGAGAATTTTCCTCTTTCAAACGTACCACGTTATTGCTTAATATGATATCTGAAACTAGCTAATATTGAGGTTTTGATGTGGTGTGTGGTTTTTAAAACATGGTTTATTTATCCAACAAAGGTTTATCTGATACAAGTACAGCATATGATTTAACAAAATGGGTGAACACAGTTATTGTCTTATTAGTCAAAGTTTACTGTTTGGGGAACAAATCTTTAGCTGATCAGTTCTCCTTCCTCCTACAGCTGTGAGACTGAAAGGTTTTACTTCTTTTTAAGTGGTTGGGCCAGTAGACATGGATGGGCTGGTGGAGATTATGGGAGAGCTGATGGAGGCTTTGGGCAGATTAACTCACACTATGGCAGAGTGCTTCAGAAGGATGCACACAATGGAATGTGGGTGATGCTATGTCGTATGAAATCCGTAGGATCTTGAATTCAGGAACAGATTCCTCAGGAGAAAAAGCAGCAGGAGAAACTCACCCAGCCTTCCCTGCAGCCTTTGCCATTGACTCTGCTTGTGGGAAGCTGGCAGAGAAGATTGAAAATGGCAATCACATCACAACTCACTGTAATGTCACAATTGCAAGCCAAGTACCTGAGTGCCCAAATCATGATCACATTATCAAAGGGATGCTGTAATCGGCCAGAATTTTGAGGACCAATTGCAACAGCTGCAACTTCAATGACCAGTTTTAAGTCCATTTTTCAGTACCACCATAACTGAATGAATGGAATAAGATGGGGACTATTGTAAATTAAATCAAAGAACCCAGTGTGCCCTATCATTCATCATAAGCCCTATGAAATAATTCAGTTTTCAAAAATCTCCAGAAAATGAAACCTGGCTTCTTTGGGAGGGCTACAACATAACATAGGCACTGCCACTGAAAACCAGCACTTAGGAACGTCTGCATGTAAGGAAAAAAAGATAGTATTTCAAAACATTGCAAACTAAGAGCTGACAAACATGACTGGGAAATGGTTTCAAACAATCCATTTGGATCTGAAAGTCTACTAGCACAGGCAAGCCCAATGTAACACCCTCTGTATTTAGATCATTGAATTAAAAAATGACCCTACCAGAGAAGGATGGAAAGGGTGTGGGAGGGTGGGACCAAATATGTATTAAATTCAACACAGCAGTACAGTATTACATTTGAGTCGGATCACATGCATTGCTTAAACATGATATTTTAAAATCCCATCTTTTGTTTGTTGAACATAAATATAAGAGAAATCCATGAAATATTGGATCCTGAGCTTTACATGTGAATTAAATCCTTTACAATGAAATCTGTTCAGGTGATATTTTGTTCAGTCATATTTTCAAGTGAACATACATACAGCATCATATATATACACTAAGTTACAGATTTATATCTTGGGTACAATGAAAACTGACCCTTTTTTATTGTTTCAATGAACTCAAGGACTCCAAATCTCAAGATGGAATAATCAGTATTCTAATTTGGAATGTGTAGGAGGTGGGTTCTACCAGAAAGAGATGGTCCTGCAGATGCCAAGCACCAAGATATATAGGTATTCTGCATTGTACTTGAAAGCTCACTAGTAACCCACATAGAGCAAACTGCTGTTCTTGCAATGGAGGGGCTACTGCATTTTGTATCAAATGCAGCTTCCAGATAGTCTTTAAAGAAAGCCCCAAGAAGAGTGCTTTGCCAAATCTATTTTAGAGATAATGAGGATATGAATACATCTTGAGATAAGATGCACAGATTTGGAAAAAATATAAATCTCTCCATGTTTTAATGTAATCAAAAACACTTAACACATATATTTGATGATTTATTAAAAGCAAGTGGTTTTATCTTGGAATCTCTTTCTTAGTAGCAATTATTTCACTTTATTTTTCAGGTCTTTCAAATTTCTATAAGTTTATTTCAACAACTAGGAATTTAAACCCCTTTCTAAATTATTTTCAACTTTGATTTACCACAACCCAGTAAAGGACTACTTCTCTGAAAGCTGCTTACTAATATTATATTATATTTATTTATTTATTTGTATCTCACCTTTATTATTTTTACATATAACTCAAAAGTGGAACATATCCAATACAACTTTCCGTCTTCTATTTTCCCCATAACAACAACCTGCGAGGTGGATTGGGCTAAGATACAGGACTGGCCCAAAGTCACCCAGCTGGCTTTTCTTGGCTAAGGCAGGATTTCAACTGATGATCTCCCGTTTTCTAAGCTGATGCCTTAACCACTAGACCAAACTATTTTTTAATATTTTATTTTATTTTTTTAATTTCAATGTGTAATTTTTTTTTACAAAACTACTTCATATAATCATTCTATTTTTCTATCTTGGGCTAGACAAGGATAGACTTGCATAGCATGACTTCTAGGGTTTACATGCATGTAGTTTTCTTGAAGTCACTCCAGATGTAATTTGTCATTATCTATTTTGAGATGTATATTATATATTGAATGCCAGTGATGGGCATTCTTGAGAGACTCCCAGGCCCATTTCTGCTTAGCTTTTATGGGGTTACCTAAGCTAAACTAAGAACTTCCAACTGTGCATGCACTAAAAAAGCAGTCTAAGAAACCAACACAAATTCATTAGTTTATGCATATAGGTAGTCCTTGACTTACGACCACAATTGAGCCCAATTTTTTTGTTGCTAAGTGAGACATTTGTTAAGCAAGTTTTGCCCCATTTTATGACCTTGCCACAGTTGTTAAGTGAATCACTGAGGTTGTTAAGTTAATAACATGGTTGTTTAAGTGAAACTGGCTTCTCCATTGACTTTGCTTGTCAGAAGGTTGCACAAAGGGATCACGTGACCCTGGGACACTGCGGCTGTCACAAATATGAATCAGTTGCCAAGTGTCTGAATATGGATCATGTGACCATGGGGATGCTGCAACGGTTGTAAGTGTGAAAAACAGTCATAAATCATTTTTTTCAGTGCTGTTGTAACTTCGAATGGTCACTAAATGAACTGTTGTAAGTTGAGGACTACCTGTATTTCTCTAGATAAGTTACATCTTTAAAAATCAAATAAGTAGAATTATAATCACAATACTCATTTTAAGGTTGACAATTCTCTAGCAAAAATATCAGGAAAAAAAATCAAAACAAAGGTGCAGGTATTTTAAGGCAAATATTTCCTTGATTAAAATGTTCAAACTGAAAAATGAACAAAATGTTATTATATTTGTATGGCAGCAAATGACCTGCAGCACCATTTTTAAATTCTACAGAACTGAATTTATTTCTCACATTGATTTTTGCCCATTCTTTTTTTTTAAGGAACTAAATTTAACTGATTTATATGTCCTGCTATTTCATCACCTCCCCAGTTTTCACAGTGCGTGCTTTTGCTATCAGTTTTTGCTCAAATTCATTATTAGGTAACACACATAATGTAACTTAAAAATAATTTTGCTCTAACTGCTATATTAGACACCTTCTAATACACAAGGGGATGATCAATACAATCAATTATCAATTTGAATTTATTATGCAAAAATAATAAAACCATTCTAATTAAGTACCTAATGCTGTTCATGCTTCCAGTCTCAGATCCAAGTTTACATCTCTCCAGCTGGCTGGCGACAATCTGACGTTCAGCCTCAAGTTCTCGTGTAAGCCTTTCAAACTGTAACTCCTGAAAGATAAAAATACAAAGGTTTATGATCAGTTGAAATGTTAGTTAATAGCAACCAACCTTATTAAAAAGCTTTCTGAACCTTTAATCTAACAACCCCAATGTATATATTTATTATTAAAATGTGATATTATTCATTACATAAATAATAAAATATTATTGTATTGTATTATATCATTATATCTGTTATATTCCAAATGGCTATGGTTTTTGTTCAGAGAAGAGCTGGATAAGTTTTGATAAAAAAGAAAGATTTATGTTTCATTCCTATTAGAATTACAATACATTTCATTATCCTTTTTCTCATTCCAGAATTGCTAATTTATGTTCGCTGAGTTCATTTCACATCGGCTAGTCAAACACATTTCAGCCTAGCATGTTTTTGTAGGCCCAGTAGACTATTAGTTTCTGGTTAATACAAACCCAGAAATTTGGATTAATTCAGTATATCACACTTCCAATACACACATTCAATACTTTCACTTATTTTACAGCTCATGCTCTCTTACACGTACACATAAATGTCTGTTTCTGTTGCTCCCCTCTGGAAGAAGGATTCGAGGTATTTTTAGCAGGACTACCTGACTCACAAGATTTGTTTGTCTCGCCATGTACATGCATACATCTGAACTAAACTGTGTTGTTTTCCTGTGTCGTATACGTGGATATATGTATAATATTTATTTATTTATTTATTTGTCATGTTCATGTAATGTATATTGGAGGTGGTGACCCTTTGAGAACTGCATGCAACAAAATTTCATTTTAATGTATGCCAATTAGTGTACATTTAAAGTGACAAAGTTATTCTAAGTCTAAATATCTATATGAATATATCTTTAGTCTAAGTCTAAATATCTATATGAATATATCTGAATACAAGAGTGATATATAATAATACACACATATACACATGCATGCAATATAAAGATAGAAAAATACACCACTTGTATTTTTATAACTAGCTATCCAAAACAGTTAATAATTTATGTTAACATAATTAATTCAGAAATATTTAAAATTCTGACCAGTATGCGATCGTATCTCTTAGTATATCCTACAACAACTGTTGCAGCAATAAAAAGTACAGAAACTAAAGATAATATTTTGTTTTGGGTGGATGAAAAAATATCCAGGAACTACTTCTTTGCTTTGTCGCAATTATTAGAAAGTTTCGTTATTTTTTTTATGTATTCTCTCTTGTTCATCATTAAGAAACTCATGAAATTTAATTCAGTTGCAGCAAGCCATGCTTCATTGACTTTGTTCCTAAAATTCTTTTGATAATGAAAGTTTTATGCAAATTATATCTTGTTTTTAGCATAATAATGTTGCATCTAGGCAAATTTGTAGGAACCAGACAACAATGCAATGAAGAAAAAAACTATTACAATAAAGGAGTATCAAAATGATGTCACAACAATTGTAAGAAAAAAAAAAGCCTAGAAACATAACTACAATGGAATAGTAGCCCCTCTTGCCTGCTGGGAATAATTAGAAATAGGAAAACAAGGAACATCAGAATACGTAAAGCAAGTCACATATATTTTAAAAAACTATATGTTACATTAAAGGAAATTTCTTTAAAAATAAGTTTTTAGGATCTACTAAAGGGTTAAAACCACATTTTAACAGAAGTAGCTCTTAGGCCTTTAGTATTTATAAATGTTTTAACATATAATCTAATTTTATGTCATTCGATAGTGAGATGGGAGGCACATAAACTTAATAAATAAATTATGAATCAAGAAAAATCAAGGAAACAATATTACAACATACTAAATATTTTAATAGTGATGAACTCTACTCATTTTTCAACTATATTTTGAAAATAAAAATGCTCAGCTCATTGATGTATACATTGGCTTTTTATTGATGATTTTGTTTTAAAATTCTACTTATTAAGCTTATTTTATCATCCTCTTTGGAATCATTTATATTGGAGATCATCCATATGAATTTCCAGATGAATCAAGTTAATCAGGTGAAGAAATGGCAGCACCTTTTCTGTTAAAATACTTCCATTAATTTCAGTCTAAAACTGAAAACTTCAGCTGGTTTCCCCTTCTTATCTATCCTGCAGGACTTTTATATACAATAAACAAAAGGTTTAAGGGTTCATTCTCTCTTGTCTTAACAGAATAGCAGAGTTGAAAGGAACCCAATATCATTTCAGAGAAATGGCTTGTGAACAAATCTTGTTCATAAACAAAGTGAAATAAAATATATTGCATATGTCTGTAAAATGAAAAAAATCTTATATTAGCAGTACTGCAGATATTATTCTATGAACTATATTCATATTACTCTATTAATTGTAGTTATGTTCTCAAAATAATTTCTCTAAAAACATGTAGGAACTGACAAATGGCACAAGAGGTCAATGTCATGGTCTATAGCTAGAAGTAATAGGAGAATTGTTCAGAAAGAGCAGCATTTTTCTGATGTAGAAAGGCAAGTCAATGAGCAATGGTAATCATTATCATCATCACCCCCAAAACAATCTGATAAAATTTCCAAAAAACAACTATGTAAATAGACTTCCTTCCTTCTTCCATCACTGTGTGCTGATCAGCTAAAATGAGTTATCACTGAATCAAAATTCTAACAAAATGATAAATTTCTGTGTTGAATGATTGTAGCTCATTTTATTTTAATAGGCCAGATCTTTCACACAGTACAAATCCTCTCTAAGAATCCATTCTCTTATTTTTATCACTTCATTTTAATTCTACATCTATCTCATTTCTTAAAATGTAGCAAAACGTTTTAAACAAAAGGCATTGTTTCTTGTTATTTATGGAATGTACTGTATATGTTGAGTTAGGTAAAGACTCAAGGCAAGTTACAACTATGAGGTCAGCCTTTTGAGGTAGGCAAGGTTAGAAAACAAGGCCAGCAATGATTCCAGGAATATTACTGTATTACTGAGGGTATAACAACATAATCTTGAAAATCTGGCAAAGCTTCTCATAACCTCATCATATACAAAAAAGAATCAAGGTGGGGTTACTTTTATTTTTTTAAAATTTTATTTTATTCAATCCAATTAATTTTTATACCCACTCACATCATGCTAATGACCCTGGCCCTATTGACAGTGGGTGTTGTTATTTATTTTTATTTTTATTTATTTTAGTTTGTCAAACATGTATAAGATAACAGGCATAAGTATAAACATGATTATAAATACAGGAAATGAATACAAATAAATGGGGACAGTAGGACAGGGATGGTAGGCACGTTGGTGCGCTTATGCATGCCCCTTTCAGGCCTCTTAGGAATGGGGTGAGGTCAACAGTAGACAGTTAAAGTTATGGGGGTTTGGGGATGTAACCACAGAGTCAGGTAATGCATTCCAGACATTGACCACTCTGTTGCTGAAGTGGTATTTTCTGCAATCGAGTTTGGAGCGGTTTACCTTAAGTTTGTATCTATTGTGTGCTCGTATATTATTGCGGTTCAAGTAGTCATTGACAGGTAGGACGTTGTAGCAGATAATTTTATGTACTATGCTTAGGTAAGACCGAAGGCGGCATAGTTCTAAGTTGTCTAAGCCCAAAATTTCAAGCCTGGTGGTAGAAGGTATTCTGTTGTGAGCAGAGGAGTGGAATAATCTTCTCGTGAAATACCTTGAGACCTGCTCAGTTGTATTAATGTCTGATATACAACCAATCTCATTGTACGTATGTTGTGCACTGACACTGTGGATTCCAGGCAGATGAGCTGTATTCAAGAATTGTCTAGCAAAGGTTTTGTATGCCCTAGTTTGTTATGTTGAGAAACTTTTGCAAATTAGTGTTTGCCATGTATCTTTGAGTTGATTTTCGCTTTCCTCCTCCATCTTTTCCTATCTCCTCCTGTACCTTTCTTTATGATTCTGAAGACTTGCAACCTTTCATCCTCCATTTGGGATGTTTTGGAGGGCTTTAATTGGTTTGTGTGCTATAGTGATGCCATGTGGCTAGAACAGTCAGTTAGTTGGAATGTTTGGAATGTTTTAATTTATTCCCTAATCCAAAACCGCCATCAACAACCTTTATTTGTTTAATTAATGAAAATGTGGGTGAATGTTTATTTGTTGACATTCTTGTATGATTTGATCCCATAGTTGATTGTAAAAGAGGAAAAAAAAATCTAAGTTAGCTTTCCTTTCTAACAAGTGAACTGTTTTTTATTAAATTACAAGGTTCTCTCACATAGATCGTAATATGACACATCTATATTCATATTCCATAAATGCATTTAAATCTAGCTAATTCAAATTAAGAAACTGCTTCACAATCCTAGTTCTATTACCAAATTATTTTCATAAAGTTTTTGCTGTACATAGAGGAATATGGAGAGGCAGAATAAATCAAAAGACTTCTGTTAAAGAACACACACTGTCACATTATCACTTTGTGAACTGATATATCATAAACTAGCATTCTATCATTTTAATTAATCCTTCATTAAAAAAATAGAGCAGAAGTACTGAATCTGGGCAAAAACCATTCAAAATAAGGACAAACATATTTTTTGCAAGAGTTTTTAATTTATTTAATGTATGGTGATGTTACATTAGCCAAGAGACTACAACGCTAATTCAGAGTAGCAGTTTGTTTCCCTAAGATTGCTAGCCCTGTTTGGTTCATGTTCGCATGTTTCCCAAGGTGCACCACAGGTGGGCAACCTAGCTGTGCACCAGAAAGAAAGATGAGCCATTTTCCTGCAGCAGCATCTATGGCCCTCTCCCTCTACTGAAGCCACCTTGCAAACAGGTGTCACAACCAAAAAGGTTCAGAACCAGCAGGATATTAACTGACTGCACAAAGTGCAGGCTTGTCTCCCCACTGAAGTGGTACCTATTTATCTACTTACATATCACATACTATTGAACTGCTTGGTGGGCAAAAGCTGAGTTGAGTGACATCAATGCTAGGACTCAAACCGCAGAGCAAAGACCATCTCCAGCATCATTAAGTCACTGAGCCACCGTGCCTTTTTTTGTAAGAGTA